TTAGAACAATGATCTGCTACGGCCGAGGTGTTGGTCCTACCGTGTTTAAGGTCTGCTTTATGTTCACGAATGCGGTCCGAGATATGGCGTTTGGTTTCTCCAATGTAACTACTACCACAGAGGCAACTTAGTTTGTAGACACCAGGGTATTGTATGTCCGGAATCACATCTTTTACAGACGGAACCAGATCACGGATTTTATGTAATGTGTTGAAACGGACCTGGATCTTGTGTTTATTCAAGATTTTGGAGATCTTTTTTGTGATCCCAGCAATGTAGGGTAAAGTGATGGTTTTGAAAGGCTCCTCAAGAGGGTTCTTCTTCATGGTTTGAGTGATAGCTTTGCGGATTGTATAGTCGGAGTAACCATTAGCCCTAAGAGCTTGGTGTACGTGCTTGAGTTCACTGCTTATGTGTTCCTGGTCGGATATGCATTGGGCTCTATGATACAGAGTCTTGATGAGAGAATTCTTCTGTGATGGATGGTGGTGGGAATCCGGTTTCAGATAAGCATCCGTATGGGTAGCTTTCCTGTAGACAGAGTGGCTCATTGAACCATCAGGTCTCTTTTTAATTAGGACATCCAAAAAAGGTATCTTGCCATCTATTTCGACTTCCATGGTAAATCTGATGGCTGGGTGTATGGAATTGATGTGGTCGAAGAATTGGTCTAGAGCAGGCCGGCCATGTGGCCAGATGACAAAAGTGTCATCCACGTACCTCTTCCACACTGTTTTCGCCTTCTCCACAGGCTGACCCAAGATAACCCACACTGTGCGTGTGATCATGCAATCGTGCAGTTTCCACAACACACCTTCATACTCCACTACATATGTATCTTGGTTGCTGGTAAGCTGAACACGTTCATAGCCATCGCCTCTGTGGCCCTGGGGGGGAACGCGCGAGGACTTCCTTCTTGCTGAAGTTGTTTAATCTCCAGCAGGTTTAATGATCTCTGCCCAAATTTCGATTTAAATAAGACAATAAAATTCTCACGACGTTTCGGCCACAACACAAGTAGCCTTCTTCAGGTGAAGGAACAGAACTGTCGGGACGACAGTTCTTTTCCTAAATAAATGCGCCGTTAAAAAATAAATTTATGCAAACCAACACACCTGAAGATGACCGTTTGAGTTATGGTCGAAACGTCGTGAGAATTTTTTATTGTTTTATATATATTTTATTATTTTGTTGTTTCTCTTCAACGTGACTTTACCGAAAAAACTAAGAATATGAATTACTGCAGTCACGAAAGCTTTAAATCAAAACAAATGGTCTTCTTCAGGTGAAGAGACAGTATGCTTCCTGTTCCAATACCTCTCATCGGCAGCCCTGCACCCGTGGCGAAAATTTGGCTGAAAATGGAAATAGGGGGTCCACATCCGAGTGATACGTTGTGCAACCAAAATGTCTCTCCAATTCGCACACAACTGAATTTCCTGCTCAAATTTATATATCTAGTCTCTGCAACATGCAAAGCGAACCAGTTCCATATAACTGCTCGGGTGTGGACCTGGCTTGTTTATTTGTGGACTCAAGCTGGTCAGCCAAAGAAACTACATCATATGATTGCAATGCCATTTTTTGTCTCAACTTTTAACTCAACTCTGCACAAATTGCAACTTGTCCAAATGCAGTGACTCAACTTAGTTTGCAGAGAAACATATATCACCACGATATGCCATAACCTAAGCTATCATCGTGACTCCCAATCTCATAAGTGATATCATTGGCAGCGGCGTTGTTAGCTCGAGTGTTGCTTCGTGCTTTGCAGTCAAAGCACGAAGCAATTTTTATTTATTGATGCTAATATTTGTATCAATCCAATTTATTGGACTTGCAAGCAATCAATAAATATTTCCAAACTCACTGCACTTCACACATTTTTTAAACCATCTCGGACACTGTGATTAATGTAGTCTTATCTTCTTACCATCAAGCCAACCCATCTGGAATGACACTTGTTGACAAAGCTTTAATGTGTCTGTAGTCAGTGGTTGTACACAATGCCTGTGTGAATATGCACACGAATAGCATTCATTTGTGTTGCATAAAATGTGTGAAGGGTGCGTGTAGTCTAACGTGCGTTGTATTGTTTTGTTTCAGTGTTATTTCATTTACTATGATGTATATATAATATAACATTTTAAGGTATAAGTGCAGCTCAAAAATGGCTTGCTTACACCACTGCTGGCTGAAGAGCCTCCGCAATCGTGAGCTCCAGAGGCGATGTCGGCTTCTCTTCCATGTTGGCCAGATGCCGTGGAAGTGTGGGAGTAGCCACATTTTACCCCAACACGTGTGACCTGCCAATCGACTTAACCGTGGTGAACACATTTACGGTAACACTGCTGGGTGGACAGAGGCGGGGTGAGGGAGCATTTAACGAACCGGCAATTTCTAGATAAGTCCAATGTGCTGACCCTTACACCACAGCAGCGTCCGTACTGTTGACATGCATGCGATACCATTTGTAACAAGCAATCTTAAGGTTAATTAATTGCACCTGGAAAAAGAGAGTTAATTGGGGTGATTATTAGAGGAAGCATTGATGCCATTAAGAGTGTAGTTTTCACCAGGCGCATCTGTACCAAGTCAGTTGCGATCGCTGCTCTGGGAGACGTGTTAAATATCGCGAGATGCGGTGACTGACCGCACGCACTGAACTCTCACTCACCAGGCAGAGCTCTGGTGGACACTGCAACGTGTTCAGCAGTCCCACGGACCGACGTTCCTAGCTCAGTAAAACAGCTCAGAGCTGTCATTATTAATCAGTCGATTTATAATTACATTTTTGGTGACGCTTCTGCATTCCCAGTGGTGCAGAGCTACGATTAACAAACTAACACACTTGTAAACAATACTGCCCTAAAATAAAAAAATGAATTCGGTGACATTTCGGGCAATGGCTCTTCGGCATAGCATCCTTCTTCGTGGGTTACTTATTACACGAACTCTCATCTGAAGCCCTCTCGTCGTGACTCGCAGACCTCGATATTGGGAGTTAGCTCCTGAACACATTGCTGCCATCATGCACATGAATGGAATTTGATCAATATTAATCAATGAATTAAATGATAATTTACACCTCCAAATAACTCTAGTTTATCAGCTCTTCCTTGCAAGACATGTTTTTTTTTACTTTATAAAATCCATGACGGAGCATACTGCCACCTTATCGTGGATTCACAATCCCCCACTAGAGTCTCTACCTCTAAGATACAATCCACTGTGACATATAATTCAAATAACATCTCACAATACAAAATATGGGAGAACTACATGCAAGTGTATTATTTTTAATGGTGGATTATATTATCATACTACTAACAGAAAACGAGACATTCAATCTCGATTTACAGATTTCCCTCAAAAGAGGATGGATCGTGGGAAAACGAGGATCGGGGGCAACCCTATCTCTAGAGATGCAGGCCCACACATGAACATTTACAGTTATTGTACACATGGCTGTGATACAGGCAGGTCCACAACATCAAGTGATCCGTTCGGGGTTTTCGCTCACATTTGTGACCTAAAGCAGAGTAGTTTTTTTTTTAAGTACCGCTCTGTTATGTAAGAGTTAAATACAAAGCCACGTGCTCTAATTACTAAACTGTACCTGCTTTTGGCCAGAGCTGTTTTGAGAAACTTCAAACTCACGTGTCTGTGCACCTGTGAAGGAACAGGTTTGTTCGGGTTATGCCATATCCTTCACTGCAGTTCTTGACGGATGAATATTAATGATATCTTACCACAGTATGGCATGATATTTTTGCTTTGTTTAATCCTTCATTGTTTGTTTCATTTTCACCAATTTATTACATACCTATTCAACATATATGTTAAATCATTGCAAATATATGCTCTTTGGTTCTTTCGGTAAAGTCACGTAGATAGGAACATAAATAATAGATCACGACGAATCGATCGCAACAACAATCAATCGTCTTGAGGCGAGAGAGAGAAGCATGCCGTTATTAATTCTAGATTTGAAGTTTTCGTGACTGCAAGAATCCATACTTTGGTTTTATTCGGTAAAGTCACGTAGGTAAAAAATAAAATAAAAATGAAAACGTCGTGACTGAATTAAGTTCTTTTCATTTTTATTTTATTTTTTACCTACGTGACTTTACCTAATAAAACCAAAGAGTTGTGACGAGGCATCATATAGATCCGAGAGGATGGGGGGGGTGAAATTCAGAGGGCTTAGGTGAGAGAGAGAAAAAATGAAAAGCAAGCTTAGATATCAAACTTAACAAAATGTAGAAATGTAATGCAACTCAGAGAGTCGGCTAACACAACCGTTAACACTTTACCTGGTTGGTCAACGTCCTTCCAAAGATTGCTAAATTTTGCATCCATCTTCTCGGATGAAGTTATGTGTTGGAATTAGCACGTTCTGTTTACGTGACAACCCTTACTAGTTGGCTGTGTCGGGTGGTGGCGGGTTTAACGACACATTTATATATTTACGCGATATACCCCCCCAAAAAACCCCTCTATTATGGCATAGAGATTTCTGAAACAATTATGGAGATCTTGAAATAAATACATAAAGCGTTTCTCTTCAGATTAATGTCTATAATTTTAGTGACCTGCTACGTGAATGTTATACGTCTGGGAATGGATGGAGCGATGAAATCGGCTTGTGTACAGGTGCTGGATGGATTGTTGCAACTGGGGGTGGGTGCGGTAACGGCGGCTAGGGCAGGCTTTTATCCAGCAGTGGCTAACAATCTATACATAAACACTGTACATAGTATTTGTAATCAGGGGGCACTTATTGGTGTGCATTGGATGACCATAAAAGTGGCGAGGGCTTTGGAGACATTGCAAGTGACAATTGTTACGAATTACGTAGAACAAGATAATGCCCATGCCTTCAGACATGACGAAGTGCCACTGGATTATATTCTTGGGTCTTTCGGTAAAGTCACGTAGATAGGTATTGCAACTGTCCGTTCCGTGTTGGGAGTTATAAATAAGTGAAGTTGTGAATGGAGGAGGCACCGCGGTTTGTAAAGGGAGGAGCCACAGCGCCGCTTCGCCATTTTGAGTGGCGCGGCGGTAGGCGGTGACGGCGCTGGGACATGCTCCTGCGGCGGCTGTAGACTCCACCGAGAGCACGCACGGCGACACGTACATGTTCTTAACAATGTCTACGCAGCCGAAAAGGCAGCAACAGCAGCAGCAGCCGAGTGCTAGGTCGGCCGTGCTCACCCCGCACGAGAATGAGATCATCTTCAACATGCTGGGCCGCAAGTGTCTGGTGAGTTAGTGATTAGGCCCGAGGCTTTACCCCCTTTTCCTAGCCCCGTCGGCAGCCATGGGAAGGGTGGGCGCCCGCCGCGTACGCTGGGCGACTCGTTCGTGGGCCACCAGTGGGTGCAGAATCGGCTTCAGGCTTTTTTCTACTTTCCTAGCCCCTGCCGGCCACCCTGGAACGAGCCCCAGCCGGGCAGCGCTGGTCGTACTTTGTTGTATAGTGATGTTTGATTTTAATTGAAAGGCGGCTTGTGTATTTAAAAATTGTTATTCTTTACATTCGGCGTTGGTTGTGGGTCATTCAAAACGTACACTGGTTTTCTTTGCTAAGTATCGGTGCGGGTTTTTAACTCAGAACATTTCACTGCATAACACTGTTTTTAACTCGTTTTTAAAGGTAGATTTTTTTTTTCAAATGTTAATGTACCTCAACATATTGTAAACTATCACATTGAAGACTACTTACCGTAACTGTATACAAGCAGTTGTTTTTTTCTGTTAACATGCTTCTGTTCCAGTGTTTTAATATATTTCCATAATAATGTGGGGTGTATTTCGCAGTTAATGGAGAAAATTACGTTTCTGTTAACACGTCCATGATATCAGTCGTAAATCTATCGGTGTAAACCACTTTGCGTGGATGCTGTAATTGCGGGACGAACATTCTGCACATGGGCGTCTTCTCAGCGTCAATGCATTTAAATTGTCTACAGTTTATGTCATTAAGAAACGTATATTTATAACGTTGAGATATTCTTCATGTGTACAGTATTACAATGGGCGCAATTGTCAGACTTTTAACGAGATGAGAGCTCGTGGTGTTGAGATAGGTTACCTTATAATAAAGGGCCAGTGAACCATACCTTAATATATTTCCTAACATCGGTTTTTGTTACTTTAATATAGGATATGGGCTTATACATTAGCTTGCCATGCCATTTTAACTCATTAACTGAATACAATTCTAGTGGAAATTGTGATGGTGATTGAGTTCAAATTGGTAAAGCTAGTTCTACATAGGCTTGGACAATTAACTAATTTGATAGACCTACCGCAGGTCCATTGCCAGATAAGTTCTGAGTCGGGCATTATGGCATTGTTATTCATACACCACCAGACTGATTGATTTCGTCTTTTAGAACTCGTCTCATTGGACTAGGTAGGCTGTGCACTGCAGTCAATGTGGGTTGTCAGTCATGTGTACTGTATAGTTTTTTTAACCAAATAGTGTGACAAACATATGCCGACATACTACACAATGACCAATTAAAATATCTCATTCCAAGTCGAGAGGGTGAGGATACTTTTTGCTACTGAACCAATTTGCGTGTTTTTTTATTCCCAGTTAAAGGATCACATTGACAGCCAACCGATACATGTTCTCAATACTGTACAATACTGTAGTAAGCCATTGCAGTGCCATAAGCTCTCCCTGCAGTCACGAAAACTTCAAATCTAGATTGAACTCTTCTCCCAAGTTTTAAACATTTTCAGGACCTGAAATTATAGCTCAAGTTAATATGGTCACCCTGTTCTACCATAATGGTAAAAACGATTGCGTTATGTTTAATGGGTTTAAGTCGTAACTTTTCCTTCTGTTCACTGCTAGGTGAATAATGAATATATATTTTCATGTAATTGTATTGGCAATTATCTTGTTGATGCTTTATCTTATTTCAAATGTGAATACTAATTGTCTAACTATAAGCTTTCTCTGTGATAAGTGTGTGTTTTGGTACTACAACATTGACATGCTTGTCCAAGATACTATATGGTCTTTTTAATTCCTGATGTAACTTTAATTGTCAATATTTAAATGTGAGGCACAATTGATTTTCATGCAAATAACCACGCTAGGAAATTGTTATAATAGCTTTGTCGGTAATGCAAAAATACCAGCCACATAATCTTTATTCCAGGATACAGTAAACAGATATTGCATTTTGATTTAAAGCTTTCGTGACTGCAGGGATTCACATTCTTGGTTCTTTCGGTAAAGTCACGTAGAAGGGAAACAATAAAATAATACAAATATTTTTTATTTTATTGTTTAAAAATATTTAAAAATATATTTTATTGTTTCCCTTCTACGTGACTTTACCGAAAGAACCAAGAATAGGTATTGCATTCCTGTTTATATCGGTGTTGACTCATTTGTTGTTGATCAGAGAAGCCATATGCCTGAACGGTAACTAAAATAACAACACCTTGCTTGTAATTAAACTCGCCTAGAGGCACAATATAATGCAGGTGTCAGAAGGTACTGGATTAACTTGTAAACACGCAATACATATATATTTTAGTCTAGTATTGTGATGATGTAACCAAGTCCCATTCTTATGATTAAATGTCAAGATGAAAATACAGTGGGACAGGTAAAGGTTGTTATGTAATGACAGGATATACGTGTACAGCCCTAATTTCCTCCTGAAACTGCGGTCATATAGTTTTTTTTAAACCATTCACCTTGTTGGTCAGTGTCGGTTGGTGGAAGCATGTAGCAAAGATGGAAAAGCATAGAAGAGCATTACAACATTGGGTTTTGCCAAAACTGTTAACTCCTGCCCACCCCGTAGTTAATGCAGCCTATAACAACATGTGAGGCATCTTGTTAGAACAGGGAAGGACTGCCCAGGGTTCAATCTGCTTAGCTTCAGAGATCTAACGAAATCGGTCGCATTCTCGTGATTTGGTTAAAGACGTCGGTTGTACATATTTAGGCAAGTCACAACTTTCCATAACATACCACATAAGATCCACCCCACCTTGCCACACTTAAGACATAGTGTGCACTCATTGCCAGTGCAAATTAAACTCATGAGCATTTACTTTGGTTTTTCTAATATGATGAGGATCAGGCTGGTACCACTAGATTGCACATATCTCTGGGTGGCAAGGTAGGCCAATCAGATGCACGTTTAAGTACCCCTTTTCACACAAACAGAATGGTCGTCGTTGAGAAAATTTCATAATTAGCCCTTTGTTAAGATTCCATCTGCCTCCACAATTGACAGTATGATTACCACAAGGCTATGCTTACACGAGCGTGTCATGTTTCAATGGCTAAGTTAATGTAATGGCTTGCGCCAATATTTTTTTATCGACTGCCTAAGAACCAAGAATATCAATCAATCAGCGTGTTGGTTTAAACTAACACTCTGCTACTATTGCTTCTGCGTCATTCATTTTCTGCAATGAATGGCAAAAACTAAAAGAGTTTATTGAGTTTATTTGAATTGCTGTTCTTATGTCGAGGTGCCCATAACGATGAATATACTCTTAGCTGATTTGAAGCCCTTTCACTTGATGTTATGTCTGGGAGGGAAATAATTCGTCATCATAAGCATGTGAAATTGGTTTACGTTACCGTCAATTCGGTATTTCAATCCATATACATAAACCTGGGCGACTCAGCAAGAGGAGGTATTTCATGTGGTCAAATTTTAATCTATGCATTCTTAAAGGCACCATTTTAGAATTTTTGACATTTTGAGATGGAATTATTTATGAGTTCACTTATACAATCATCACAAACTGAGCTGCCACACTTATCTGACTTTTATGCTCATGAGTAGGGCTTGCGTTTATGTAAAGTGTCAAATGTCAATTGAATCCTATTGGTATCAAGTGCAAAATCTAACTTTGTAATCTCAGAAAACATGGCAACTTAGCCGTGAGTAATTCCTTTGACTATCGGGTGTACTCGTTCATCTACTCCTTTGCTGTGGCTGACCGCGTTTTGCCAGCGTGACACCATTGCTCACATGAGTGCACTCTCCGTGCTGCTTTAGGGCCGGAATAACAAGCTGGACAAGTTCACAGTCACCTGTAAACTTGCCCAGCGTTAGGCGAAATGTGCGGTATCTGCGTCATGTAACAGCTTTTCTTTTAACATTTCATTTAATCCTATTTTTTACAACTAATGAAATAAAACATTGTGGAAAGATGATTCACCACATTGTGAAACAATCATCAATTTGTGAATACCGCACTGGTTCTAAGAATGTATATAGTACAGTGCATTCAGGCCTTGGAATAATAATTCTAAAGTCCTTATTCAAGTCTGGTCAAATAGAGCCTCCTTTCTCGAATAACCATTGGGGTGGCAATGTTCAAATCGTTTGGTGCTCAGCAATGTAAACGGCAGGAGCCAGTTACTGCAGAGGACACACGCTTTTTAATTCCCACACATTGGTACTTATTTCATTTAATCCAGTGGGATGAGTAAAGTCAACCTCCTAGCCAGGTTTTGAACGCGAAAACCTTCCAATTGTGTTTAACTACATTGTGTCTAACTACATTTCCAATCCACCTGATTGCATAAGTCTTAATTCACAGCCACTTAGACATTGAATTACGTACAGTGTCTCATATGGTGGCTGCCTTTTTTCTGTAAAGTATTCACATATCTGGCGGCTCCCAGCCCTGTAGTCTTAGCATTACACCTCCACGATAAATACCAACAACATGTAATGTATGTATGTGTGAATGTGTCCACCAGAGAGTAAGTTCCTGCAAGGTGCCGTTTTTCTCGGGGCTGCTCAGGTGAACTATTATGTTAGTCTTCATATAGCTGTGACCGAAACATCACCCATTGGCGAAATGGAAATCCACACATACCATATGGTTTTCTTCGATAAGAGACAGAAACTCCAACTCAACAGTATGTATGTGGAACTGAAATAAAATAACCAGGTGACTTTAAAAAAGAGTAACTTAATTCTATTGCGCATAAAAAGTAAACATTTATAAAATATGGAGTTATAAGTTTGTAAAGATATTGCAGAAAGGTAACTTCGCACTTTGTTGACTGCTTAATCAGTTGTGAATTTTTTGTAACTGTCAACCTTCACTGGGCTGAGTGGAGTGTCTTTTCCAGGAGATCGTATTCCTCTTAAGCCTTTTCCGACCCCTTTGCTCTTTGTGGACTCATTGGATGAATACTTATGGAAACCACAATGTCTTCAGCTGCCGTTGAATTGACCATGTCAGGGTCAATTTATA